AAAAAAAAAAAATCTGTTAACAAATTTTTTTTTCAGTGGCCCTAATCCTCTTCCGTAGGAAGCTGAAGAGTGACAAACTACTAATTCTGAATGGAGGAAACCCATCGATCTCTGCCACTTTCATAACATCACCTGAACAATGAAACATGAAAGATTTCTCTTAAAAAAAAAAGAGTACGATGTTCCTCCATCACAACAGAAAGTGGAAGGTAGAATGATCCAAGGTCATTTTTTGTTTCTTTTAAACTCCTCTGAAACAAACAACACGTATCCAGATGGAGATAAAACATGTAAAGCTGACCAGTTTTCAGCTACTCTGATCAAAAATGGCGACACAATACGCCATCTCCCATTGGGTAGTTATAAAACCACTCATTTGAAGCTGTGAGAATATTTTCATTTTTGTTGGGATGTTATTAGACTTGCAGAATATGTATTTATAAAAGCATGACTTGCTGTTTGCTAATTAAAAGCCACATTTATCACACAAAGCACTGCAATTGATAATCTGTTCATGCAGCAAGATAATTGATTTTGATTATAGATTTTTAAATCTAGAAATAATCAAAGGGAGCACTTAAAATTAGAAATGATGGCTTAAAAAATAGATACATGTTGTTGTTTTTTTTTAATCTTGTAAGAGCCAAATCATTTGTTGTGTGTCCTTTTAAACATAAATAATCTAATTCCATTGGCTAATGTTTTATTTACCTCTTCAATGAAGGGAATAAAACTTATTTCAATAAAAAATGGGCTCAGTTATATTTCTATTGTTGGAGTGTGATCTTATAGAGGATATAAGCTTTTAAAGAATGAACCTGGAGCAATATGTAGCTCTAACTAGATCAGTTTGTCTGGATTTTTTGGCTAATTTTGAAATGCTTTTTATTTTCTCCTCCCCCCTCATCCCCCTCCCTCTCCTGCTCTGCATCTAGGAGGGGCAGCCACCTCGCAGCCCGTCCAGAAGTCCAAGCCGCCCTCGCAGAACAGCAGCGCGGCCCACAGCATAGGCAGCACGCAAAGCACGCCGTGCTCCAGCAGCAGCACGGCGTAGCTCAGGACGGCGCCAACAGGAGGCCCGCAGACCTGCCGCTGCTGCTGCAACCTCACAGTAACCCTCTCATTGTTCCCCTAAAGTGATGCAGCAAACAAAGACGGCATTAGTTCACCACAAACGTGCTGGGATGATTCTG